CCGGTCGGGCAGGAGCCGTGTGTGCCCGGGTGGTGTATCCCGCTCTCTGCGCTGGGATGGGTTTGCTGAGCCTGGGGCATGGATATTCCCGAACACCAGCTCTGCCCGTCCTGCTGGCCCTGGGGTAGCTCCTGGCCTCGGCCTGTTGCTGCTTCTCCGCTCCCTTTTGCATTCCCGTTGGGATTAGGGCAGGATAAACGTGTAAGTGATTGCTCTGGATCTTGGGATGGCAAAGTGGAAAAAATCATACGGGTATTTCATGCCTCAGGTGATGGGATTTTGCATGTCGGGTTCTGGCATTCCCAAGACCTGGGCTGTGGATGCATCTCACTAAAACCAGGATTCTGTGGTGTTGAGAAACTGCTGTATTCCCTTTCTTTTCCCGAGGCGATCCGTGTGTCCCTGGAATATTGCTGAGCTTTCTGAAAGCCAAATATCCCCCCCATTATTCATGCAGCAAAGTCCAGCAGCGCAGGTCAGGAGGGGATGCTGCCGGGCTTCGGCCCTGTGGATTCCTGACATGGAGCTTGGTACCGTATCCAGTTCAGCTTAGATCCAGGATCCTCAGTTACTTCCCTGTGGATTCATCGGGCTGACAGGGAATGGGAATGGCAGGAGTGTGACAAGGGAGTCTGGCAAGTGCAAACCTCCCGTTTCATGTCATCGGGATGCAGAAGGAGTCCTTGCGTTTCCTCTAATGATACTTCAACCATCCCCTAATGTTCGAGTAGAAACACCAATTCCCAGTTTTAATGACTTCGGCAGCATTTGTCATTTGAGAGAGTTAAAGAGGATCCGGATGGATTGTAATTTTTTTTTTTTTTTTTAAGGATTTTTGGTTTTCTGGATAAAGTAGCTGTGAAATACCAGAAGCAGCCACCGTGGGTCTGGGGCAGTGTCACTGCAGAGATCTGCCCCGGCAGCTGCTGGGATGGCAATAGCCGTCCTGTGCTCGGGGCTGGTCCTGTCAACCGACCAAATTCAGGCATTTGGGTCCTGTCTTGTTGCAAGTAATTCCTTACTTAATGAGCTGAACTGTTTAAAAAAGAATTCTTTGGGCTTTTGGAAGATATAAATGTTGGAAATCATCTGGTAGCTGATCCCCTGAGATATTCCAGTGTCAGCTCAGAAATAAACTGTGGTATGTTCCTAATTTAGTTGTCCCATCTCTATCCCATCTTTTGCCTGTCGAAACAGGAAGCAGCTGATGCAGATTTCGTGTTGCTGACAGCGTGTTGGGCTGCACAAAAGCTGAATCTGAACAGAGGCGTAGGTTGGGCTGGCTTTGGCTGTAAAACTCTCATCTGTGTCTTCCAGAACGTCTAAGTGAGGGCTCGGGTTAATGTGCTGCCCCAGGCAACCGGAGGCATTTCATTTATGCCTGTTTTGTGCGAGCTTGTTCACTTCTCTGAGGACTGCTCTTTGGATGTGCTGATTCCTTGATGTTCTCCGAACGGGAAGCTCCTCTTGCTGTTGTGCAGGGTCTGCTCTGGGTACCTGGAACCTTCCCTTCCTTGCTCTGATCATCATCAGAGAGTCCAGTCGCGGGTAAAAGCCTGTTTGTGGTACAGGGTGCTCAAACCCATGTTCCCAAGTTTTGACAGAAATAAAGGCGAGTTAATAGATTAACCTAATGTGCTATGAAAACAAATGAGCTTTCTGGCCCAGGGTGACATGTGTTTGCTGCGAGTCCATAGATTCCACTCCACTGGTAATCAAAGTTCAATTGAATTTAAACCAGACCTAGATTAAGTCCTCTGTCACAGTTCCAAAAGGGAGAGCTTCCTCCCAGCTCCACTGCTGTCTCCTGGCAGTGTGGTGAAGCTTGAATGCTTTTCTCTTCCTCCTGAGCACAGGATGATGTGCTGAGCAAAAATAAGTCTTCAGTGACCTGTGTCTCAGCTTCCTCTTTAAGGAAGGCAAATGGGAACCGATGATGTGCACTGTACTGAGAGCCACAAAGTCAGCGTGTCGCTTACTGACATTACCTTGCATTCGAAGTGATCAATAGACAAAACACTGTTTAGAGGAGCCCAAGCAAGTCTGCTTTGTGATCTTTTTTTCCCTAGCTAAATTTAATCTCTCTGGATTGCAAACTCTGGCTGTTGAGGTTAGCTACAACTGAATCTCTTTATTTCACTCCATATGGGTGTGTAGGTAGCAGAAAGCTGCATCCACAGGGGAAAGGGCATAGCAAGGGTGAGTCAAGGTAGTTTTAGCAAGGAGGGACCAAGGTAAAGCTGCCTGCTCAAGGACTTTGTGCTGCTTGCAGTTAGTTCTGCTTTTGCTGCCAATTTACCAAGTGACTTATCTTGTGAGTTGTCCTAACGCTGCCCATTAAACAGAAACGAAAAGGAGATCACCATCTGGCAGCGAGCGTTAGGTACATAGAGCTGGTGTCGAGCAATGCGAGCTCATGCCTTCTGTCAGGAAAACCCAGGAAGGACGTGTCGAACAGCCAGGAACCTAGAAGGAATCTGGAGGTCAAGGAACATTTTCTTGCAGAAGGACATTAATCCCGACGGCATATCCAGAACGGATGCGATATGCTCCTCGCAGCAGCGTGTTTTATTGCTGCGGGTAGGAAGGAGCTTTCCATCTGGACTTTCTGGTTTGTAATCCTGATTTGAAATGCAGTTTGCAACTCGGTAATGGGGCTGATCAGATTAGAGCCTCGTGTGGAATGTGGCGGGGATCAGCGGTGCAGAACAGCAGCCTTGTCTGCCCAGCGCTCCATAAACCTGGCGCCCTTCCTGGACCCCCACGTTGCACCCCTCTCCCTCCCTGCTCTCTCAAAGCATTTCCTTAACAGGTGGCTCTTTGGTGGGGTGGGGGAAAAAAACACCCTTTTTTTAGTGTGCTGAGAGCGGGGGAGGCAGAGCCCCACTCTTGGCTGCGCTCCCACTTGAAGACGTGAGCCCCATTCTGGATGCATCGTCCTCGGCTGCGGCAGCACTGCTGAGCCTGTGGTCAGGAGCACAGAATTCAGGAGGAAAGAGGTATTTGTGACTGGTGATTACATGGGTGACTGCCCACAAGTTTCAGCCTCTCTGAACTTCTTTTGTATCTGGAAGCCATCCAGTCGCTTCTGTCCAGTTCTATGCACAGTGTGTCCTCTGGCTCACTCTTGCACAGAGGAGGAAACCGCACTCTTCCTCTTGGAAAGGGGGGTGGCCTCTCGTGTCCCCCCACCCCCCGGCAGTGCTGCTGCTTCTTCTGATGCAAGCAGATGAAAGCAGGGTGGAAACGACCTTGTTTGTCTCGTGACATCAGTGACTAATGCTGGATCTGCCCCACATCCTCTGGAAACGGGGTGAGAACTTTGGAGCAGGGCTGAGAAGACTCATGAGCAAAAGCAAACCCCTCCTTAGAACTTCAGGTTTCGTTTCTGAGGGAGCTCTTGCGTCAGTTCATCCAGGCAGCTCAGTAAACCCTGCCTTCCTTTTTGGGTATGCTGGGAAGGCTGTTCTCCTCCCAGGCAGGGTTTGGGGCTTTTGCAGGCTGCTGCAGTAAGAAGGAAGCTGTGGCCAGGCCATAATTGTGATTCATAATGTAAAGCCTTTCGATGAGTGGTGATAAGATACAAATGTGCTTGGTAACTCGCTGCCTCTCTCCCTGCATTCCCTGTGCATTAGTGTGCCTGGAGCGTGACTTGTCTTGCTCCTTGGTGCAGAGTCTCTGCAAAGCAGTAATTAATGGAAAGTTTATGTGACTCTTCAGACTTCTCCAGATGAGACGCTGCGAATGACTCGCACCCCTCGATCTCCTTCCTGTGCAGCTACTGCAGAGGAGGTTCTGCACTTCAGATACCGAAGCCTGTGGAGGGGGAGGAGGAACAGGGGCACATTGTTGCAGAGGCAGCTCTGCCGCCTTCGCTGGTGCAGCTGCATGTCTCAGCGAGTGCCAGGCTGGCTCCTTTAGCACACTGATGCTCTGTACTGGAGTAAGAGATGTTCCTGGGAGGGATTCAGGGCTCCAGGAGGTCCCTGTAGGTGCATTTGCAGAATCAAACCCACCAGTTCTCACCCGAAGTGTGTCGACTCCCAGCAAAGCAGTTGTACTTGATTTTGTTCTATAGTCACAGCTGGGGCTTTGGCCAAGTTCTGACTGCAGTGAGATTCTGTGCAGACCTTTGTTTTATTGTGTGATGTCAATATAAGGTTAGAAGGTGTAAGTTTTTTATCCATATATGTGCAGGAAGTCCTTTCACTGATTGGAAAAGAAACTACGTGGCCAGTGAGGAGTGGCTGTGGCAATAAAAAGTAGCTTTGTGTGTGGCTTTTGTATAACCCAAATATCCCTTGCTAATGTGAGGGTACCCTGCTGTCTATCACTGGGATGCAGAGCTAGGTAGAAATTACTCTTCTGGAACTGGTAGAGCTGGTACTGGAAGAGCTGATAAACCCTCTTCCATGTCTGGCATCTGAGTTTCATACTTCAGAGGGTGCGAATAATTGTCTTCTGCCTGTGCAGGTCGTGGACAGTGGTAGATATGGAAAGACTGGTTGAACGGTTGGAGAAGGCTGTGGAGCGCCTGGAGACGGTGTGCCAAGGGCCTGGCATGTGTGGAGATGGCTCTTCCAAAGGTAAGGCCCACAGCACCTCCCCAGCAGCATCACCCCATGGGAGTCCCCGTGCTGAGGTGTCAGCTGGGAGCTGTGGCAGGGTTGGACATCGGTGGCTGTTGCAGTGCTTGTGCAGGGGGCTGCTGGATGAGCTGGCTCTGCAGAGGGGAACTGAGTTTTGCAGCAGATCCTGCTGTGGTTACGGTGCTGCCAAGATAAGGACTTCCTGTGGCTGCAGCTCCCCTTGCTCAGCTGCTTCAGGCTGAGCCCTGCCTGCAGGTGATGGGAGCTGGGGGAGGTTCAGCCCAGGAGCCTGCCCGCTGCCTCTCGGTGATACCTGTGCTCTGGTTCCTTCTCTGCAGGAGTGGCTCAGTATGTGCAGGCGTTCGATGCCCTTCTGGCTGGCCCAGTAGCTGAATACATCAAGATCAGCAAAGAAGTTGGTGGGGATGTGCAGAAGCATGTAAGGACTCATGTTCTTCTCTCTCTGCTCTAAATAGGTGCTGCTTGTTCTTCAGGGCTGTTAAGGGCCAAGTTTGCAGCCAGTGTTTGCTGCCAGCACTATAAACATTCCTTTAGTGCTGTATTCTGGGATGTTTATAATCCTTGGGGATTCAGAGCAGATGCCTGGATAACCTCTAGCAGATTTCTCCGTACACACACATGACGAATCAAACCTCCTCCTTGCAATCTTTGCTAGTTAGATGTGTAGCTCTCCTTATAGTCCATGCCTTTAAGAGGCCTGTAAACTACCCAGCCTGAGAGCTATTGCACTCTGAGGATGGGTGTCTCCAAGAATATATGCGTTGGTTTCAGCACAGCTGCTTTCTTACAGACTAGGAGCTGGGGGCAGCGGGAGCTTGAATGACCCAGCGCTACACTGTGCACAAGGGAAGCTCCCTCATGTTTCTCTCTGTTCTCAGGCTGAGATGGTTCACGCGGGTTTGGTGAGCGAGAGGGCTCTCCTGGTGATGGCATCTCAACACCAGCAGCCGACAGAGGTACGTGTGGGAAACCACTTCTCATAAACCTTGTATGCTCTTACCTTGGAGCTGGGGATGGCTGCAAGTGTAGGGGAAGCTGGGCCGTTACAGCTGCTCCAGAAGAGGAACTGGAAGAGGACTGGAGACACTCGCAGCATGAGGTGGCACTTCCTGAAAGCAAGAACTGTTCCGGGTCCTCACCGGTGCTGAGCAGGATTCCAGAGGTTGCTGCTTAGAGCTGCAGAACTGGTGTTTTCCAGTCGATGGAGCAACAAGTTTTCTGTAGCTGTCGGAGCAGTGCGAGTGTCACCTCACAGCGTCTGTCTCGAGTGTCACCTGGCACCAGCACTGCACAATCACTGTGCCCCGAGACGCAACCTGCAGACAGACACTTGTCTGGGACAGGAGCCACGGTGGAATTTGTGCTTTTCATTATGTGATGTCTGGAGACTTCCAGGCATCACACTCCTCCTGAAGGATAACAGACACTTGTCTCTATTGAATGGCGTCTGAATAGTTGGGCTTTTAGGATCGATTTGTGCTTAGCAAGTAATTTAACACTACACCCTGGGCTGCTGCTTCTCGGCAGGATGCGTGGCTGAGAACCTGATCCCAAATGCATTGGCTTTTCCCTGCTGAGAACTGTTTTTCCTGAGCAACAGGATCCCACCTTGCTTTTCTTTGCAGTTATGATCTGGCTCAGCCATAGCTTCTCCTGTTACACTGGTAGCTGGATTTCTGTGCTACTTCTCTATTCCCTGTGAAATCCATCTGCATCTCTTTGCCCAAACTCAGCATTGGAGGTTGTTTCTCTTTCACCAGGCTGGCTGGGGTGCTGCTCTGCCTAGCCTCCAGGCTGAGAATCTGCTTACAAATGCCACTGACACGTCATTTAAATAAGGATTATGAACAAAGGACAAGTTTAATCTAGTGCAGGCTTTTGTGCAGGTTGTCTTGCAGGAGCCTCGGCAGCTCTGGAGTAGCCAGTTTAAAATGCAAAATGTATGAACTGTCATTGTTTGTGGTGAAGAATTTCCCCATCCTGTTGTTTGACAGTGGTGCTGGGCTGGAGCTTCTGGAAGTGGAGCCTGGCCAGTGGTGCTCAGAACCTCTCTTTGCATCGAAGCAGTGGAAGGGACAGCAAAAGGAAAAGCCAGGGCTTTGAAAAGCAAGTTTTGCTCAAAGTTGTCCCTCACTGCTGCCACCAGCAGGAGACTTTCTGATCTTAAAGGAAAGAAAAGCTGCCCAAGAGGCATCTCTGGAAATTTGTAAGTGGCTGCTCTGCCCCCAGACTTCCAAGCACACCCAGTCAATATTCCACGTGAACACCGCACGGACACAATTTCTATCATCCAGATATTAAAGGCTTGGTTTGGCTTGAGAAGGACTGGCTTGAATCCTGAAGTCCAGCTTGATGGGGTGACTTGAGAACTTGCTGCGGCTCCACTTGTCTTGCAGGCTGTAGATCCCAAACTGCAAGATCTTGTCTTGTACCTCTGTGTCTGAGGGCTTCTAAAGGAGAGGAAAAACTTGACAAACTGTCTTGGAACAAAAGAACCCAGGAAAGGCAAATGCTATTTCTGTCCTCGTTACTAACAAGCTTTGTTAGTGTCTCTTGGATTGAACATGAGTCACGGTTCTTGGCGTACTCCCATTGTACCAATCCAGTTGGGAACTATGACTTCAGCCCTGGAGGAGCGAGGCTGTGGGGCTGAGCTCGGCTCATGGGGAGGGCTGAGCCCGGACAGGAGCTGTAGCAGTCGGAGTCTTCCTCCGGGTGACCATCATCTCAGTAGAGCAATATCAATGTTCTGATTGTGGTTGTCCCTCCTGTCCTGCAGAATGCCTTCTCATCGCTTCTGAAACCGATTTCGGAGCAAATCCAGGTGGTGCAGAACTTCAGGGAGAAGAACCGCGGGAGCAAACTGTTCAACCACTTATCGGCCGTCAGCGAGAGCATCCCTGCCCTGGGCTGGGTGGCCATGGTGAGAATTCCAGTGGGAAGTGGTTTCCTTGGGCTCGTGGGAGAAGTCTGGCTCCCTGGTCAGCTGTTCCGTGCCAATGCGTTCATTCTCCTCTAGGCTCCAAAGCCTGGTCCTTATGTGAAGGAAATGACCGATGCTGCCATGTTTTATACCAACCGGATCCTCAAGGAGTACAAGGATGTGTAAGTTCACCTTCTTCTTTAAAGATGCCATTGAACACAACTAACTGGGTATGTAGGGGCTGCTCCAGTATCTAACTGCAGCTGCTTTGGTCTTGGATTCGTTCTTTTTAAAGGCAGGGTGTATTTATAGAGCCTCACATAGCTGTTCTTTCCTGATCCTTAGGGACAAGATTCCTTATATTCATGTTGCAGCTGGCATCTCTGTGTTGTCGCTCCTGTCTCGGCATCATCTGGTGGTTGAACTGTTTCCTAGAGCAGCACATTGGGGATGGGTCTTTCTGGAGGCACCAGACTCCTCAGTTAAAATGGTTTCAGTGCAGAGCAGCCTGGGGCCTCCTGCCTGCAGGTGCAGGGTGAATGCTGAAGCTAGAACACGGTGCTGGAGGTGTGAGCTGCTGGGCTGGCCCAGCTGAGTCCTGTCTGTAGCTGAGAGGTGGAGAGATGTAAAGAACCATTTGTGGTCCTTGGGTTTTGATGGCAAATGCACCTGGTTGCTCCTCATGATCTCCTTGTGTCCTCAGAGATAAAAAGCAAGTGGACTGGGTGAAAGCTTATCTGAGTATCTGGACAGAGCTGCAGGCCTATATCAAAGAGTATCACACCACGGGGCTGACCTGGAGCAAAACGGTGAGTGCTGCATCTGCAGGAGCTTCCGAGAGGAGGATTGCAGGGTTATTGCAGCAGACACAGAGCTTGTGCAATTGCCTTTCCTCTTGCTGGCCTCTTGCAGGGTCCTGTAGCCACAGAAGGGACCAAGTCACCATCTGCTCCCCCCGCGGGGGCTGCGCCTCCCCCCCCTGGTCCTCCTCCACCTCCTGCTCCTGCCCCCAGCAGCTCCAGCGCTGACGACGCTGCCTCCCGCTCCGCTCTGTTCGCCCAGATCAACCGCGGAGAAGGCATCACCTCTGGTAGGTGAAGTGGGGACCGAAGGGAGGGTGGCCACGAGAGAGGGTTCCTGTGCTGGGAATCCTTGTTTTGCTGCTCTCCCTCAATACTCCTGCTCAGAAACGAGAGACCATCTCCTCAGAGCAGAGGCTGGGAGTCAGCAGCAGCCCTGAAGCAGCTCACAGGGACAGAGGGAGCACATCTGGGGACTCTCAGTCTCATCTGTCACTTGTGGCAAGAGATTAATCCCTGGCTGGAATGGAAATAGCTTCCTGCACGTTGCCAGTACAGAAGGTGCAGTTTTGCACCTATTCACATCAGCACAGGACTCGTTCCTGTTTTGTGTCGGCTGGTCAGTGTACGGGGACAGTCAGAAACTGAAGCGAGGTGCCTGGCTCGGGGTTTTCCACCTGCAGAGTGAAGAGCTGGTGCCTTCTGGTTCTACAGTGCCTGTTGTGTTCTCATCAATATTGCAGCAGTTTTCATGCTCCCTCTTTCAGTGCTGCCACTTGGCCTCAACTTAGGCCCACTCTCAATAATCATAGAATGGTTTGGGCTGGAAAGACCTTAGGATCATCCAGTTCCATCTGGATTTGAAAATGGTATCGTGGGGATTGTTGTAATCACCAGTGTCTGGTGTTTGTGAAACTGCACCCTTGGAGGAGACTGGATCTCAGGTGTGACTTCTCTTGCAGGCTTAAGACATGTATCAGATGACATGAAGACCCACAAGAATCCAGCCCTGAAGAATCAAGGAGGTCCTGTGAGAAGCGGACCCAAACCTTTCACTGCTCCCAAACCAGCCTGTAATGCTAATCCTGCCCAAATAACCTCTCCAAAGGCACCTCCGTTGCTAGAATTAGAGGGCAAGAAGTGGAGAGTGGTGAGTGCCTGGGGTTGGCATGAACGGGTGGGAGGGATGGGAGCTTTGCAGCAGGGGAGGAGGGTCTCCTGAAGGGCCTGCACTGCCCTGCTCTTCACATGGATCAGTTGGGCTGCATTCAGGAAATAAAGTGTGTTTTCCTGCCTCTTCAGGAAAACCAGGAGAATGCCACTAACCTGGTAATCAGCGACACAGAGTTGAAGCAGGTAGCATATGTTTTCAAGTGCACAAATAGCACACTCCAAATCAAAGGCAAGATCAACTCCATCACCCTTGGTAAGTGGAGAAGCCCTGAAAGCTGCTGCTGCTGCGTGCTGATCTGAGCCTCCAAAACCTTCCTGTGACTTCCTCTATGTTGTCTTTGCAGATAACTGTAAGAAGCTAGGGCTGGTCTTTGATGACGTGGTGGGCATCGTAGAGATCATAAACAGCAGGGACATCAAAGTTCAGGTGAGTGCCTGTGAGCTGTTCTCTGCCTGCAGAGTGAACCCTGCGCTGTAAAACCGGCATCCGTAGCATCTGCCTCTTGGAATAGTTTTATTTCCAGAACAGGGACATTCTGGTGCTTGCCCAACCCTTAGGAAAGGGCCGAAATGTGCCTCACTGCTGCTTCAGGGCTCTGGTTGAAAGCTGAGTCTCTGAGGCGGGCAGCACAGTATGACTGCCAAAGCAGGAGGCCAGCAGTAGAGTCTGTTCTGACTCCAGTTTTGGTATCTGGTTTGGGATGGTCGATGTGCCCAGCGTTCCCTGTAGTGTGTTCTAAAGAGATCAAACCAAGAAGGAACTTCGGATTTTTTTGCCAGAGGTGAATCCAGAGTTAACCCAGGGTTGGGTGAAACCTCTTGCCTTGAAGGCGAGGGCAAAAGAAGAACACTGTGGTTGCCCAGGTGCAGGTAACGCTCCTCTAACTGCTGCTTTGACCACCCCACCAGGTAATGGGTAAAGTGCCAACGATTTCCATCAACAAGACAGACGGTTGCCACGTGTATCTGAGCAAGAGCTCCCTAGACTGTGAGATCGTCAGTGCCAAGTCATCCGAGATGAATGTCCTTATTCCCACCGAGGGTGGGGACTTTGTAAGTGTTGGGGCTGAGATCGCTGTGGGGTCACGCAGGGCAGGATTAGTGTTTTGAGCCCTGTCGGTTACAGCGAGCTCTGGAGGGACAATTTTAGGCTCTAGATTTTGGAGGTTGTGGATGATGATCTGATCTTAAAACCAGCAAATCAAGTTGGTTGGTCTTTTATAGCAAGATACTTGCTGTGAGTGTGAGCTGCTGCCTCCTCAGGATCTCCTTGGGGCAGAATAGGCAGTGTTTGTGGTACAGGAGCGGGGACAGCATGTATCCGAGGGAAGAAATGCCTAAAGCAGTGGGAGGAGTTACTAGTCTCCGTCATAAACTGGTTTCTAACAACAGGTTTCTATTTTTACCCTCCAGACTGAATTCCCTGTCCCAGAACAGTTCAAGACAGTGTGGAACGGTCAGAAGTTGGTTACCACTGTGACGGAAATTGCTGGCTAAGCAGAAAAGCTCCAAGGCTCACGCCCTCCCCTGGCCCTGCTGTGGGACAAATCTGCTTTCAGATGATTCTTTTAGATTTCTTGTACCTTTCTGCTCTCAAACTGCTTCTCTTCTACCCGAGAGACACAAGCTGCCTGCCGGCACTGAGATGCCTCTGCCCGGGGCTTGGTGTAGGTGGTGGGTCAGTTATTGTCCACATCTATCAGCTTTTTTGGTGAATTCTCTTTTTTCCCCCCTTGTCTGGTCTAATTGCACCAATTGGTCGAGTCAGGTTTATGGTGAACTTCACAGCCAGTCCTGGCAGTTGGCTTTCAGAGTGTTGTTTGGGGTTTTTTTATATTGCTTTTAAGGAAACTGTTCACATGAGAGAGGAATGTTGTCCCCTTTTTAACAAATAACGGTGTCTGTCAGGGTCCAGAGTACCCGGTTACTATGGTGGATGTCTTGAGAAGGTCCTTGGAAGCTGCTAATTCCAGCTCTATGTACTAGTTGGTGGCATTCCAGGACATGGGAATGGTTTTGAGGGACCAAAGGCTGAGGAGCTGGGCTGTAGCATTCCACCCCCAATTCTCTTTCATCATTCCTACTAGCTCAGTGCATTTCCAGTTGTGCCATGTCAGGAGGCTTTCGATTAACCAGTGCCACAGGACGAGCGCAGCGCAGTGGCTGCGGTTCCCCCCCCGGCTCTCTGGTTGGTATCTTGGAGCTGAGCACCTATTATTCCATGAGCCCTTCACTCTCCCAAGGGAATCTTTACTCCAGGGCTTCCTTCTCAGAGCAGCTGAACTCAGGTTCAGTCTTCCAGGGCAGTTCTTCGAGCCTGTCCCCTTCTGCTGAGGAAGAGGCTCCTCCAGCCCAGGGTCACTAGTGCAGTATTGTAAATACCTGAGATGATCACATCGGTTCATCACTCTCTTCCTCATCTGCAGTCAGTCCCCATAAAGCAAATCCTCTCACCCTTCCCCTGTTACTTGGCTCTTTACTTTGGTGGAAGCTCATAGCCTCTGTTCCAGGGCCCTGGAGCAGTGCTGGAGCCAAGGCACAGTACTGTACTGACCACAAAGGGAGCTGCACGTGCTTTGACCTTCATTTTTCCAACGCCTCGGGTGGCATAAGCATATCCTGAATGCATTTCCTCTGTAAAGTGTCAATGTTCTTTTTCTCTAGTACAAAACTTACAAAAAAAAAAGAAGAAAAAATATGCAATTTTTTTATTTTGAGACTGTCCTGTGACTTGTACTCGTCTTCTCCTGAGGCTTGTGGAAAAAACCTTTCTTATGTACTTAAGATTATACAGAAGATAGAATAAAGTTAATGCCAACTTGCTCATTACAGTGGCTCTTCTCTGCTCTTTTGGGCACGCAGGACAAGCTGCCCAATGCGTTCCCCAGGGGCAAGTACAGACTTTCCTCAGCCCCCCCTCGAATCACACAGTAGTTGCTAAATCTCACCTGGTTTTAGTTGGTTAGATAAGAAGTTTTTATTGGTTTCAGTTGCTGTACAAAAGTGCATAAAACAAGCCATTAGTTGAAAATTCAAGTTGTTAATACCTGCTTTATTCAAACCCCTCCTTCTTCCCCAGAAACACCTAGACTTGCCCCTTTCCCCCTGCCCCAGCCCTGAAGGATGGGCTCTAATGTCTTTCCTCTGCATACAGCCACAAGCCTACCTGCTGATCCTGCCGAGATGCTCAGTTCTTGCACTAGTGCTTTCAGTTAATACTGCCGTTGTGTCTTGTGAGGGACAGGCAAGGGGAAAAGAAACCTCTGGAGCAGACTTACCCAGGCCCATGCAGTACAGAGCGTGTCAGAGCCAGGGCAAGGCTCAGTCCACCAAGATGGAGTGCAATTCCATCCAGAGAAATCCTGGTCTCTTAGGAAGAGGTGCCACCTCCGTGCCCCTCTTCCTCCCCTTGCCCACATCCCTGCAGGCTCTACACAGAAAGTGCCATTACCCCATAGCAGCTGCTTTAACTACAGTGGTGGAACCCCCCCAGTGCTCTCAGAGGGCACTCCCCTTCGCTTCACTGGAGGAAGGGGAGGATGGAGGTGTAGAACCACTCTTCAGAGAAGTGCAGGTGATCCCCTTTCACCCCCAGGAACACCAGCTTTCCTGCTTTATCCATCTCCTGCAGCCCCAGGCGATCCTGTGGAGGGAAGCAGGACCATAGGTGGCTTCCTGGGGCCCTGGCTTAGCCAGGCACTGGCAATGGCTGGAGAACCCGGCACAGAGGAAAGCGCGGGTGGGCAGGGACTGTTGTGGCAGCAGCAGCCTCAAGTGGGTCCCACCTCTGCTCTTCAAAGCTTCTCCTCATCGAGGAGAAAAAGGCATTTTGGATGACTTACAGCAAGGCTTTAGAAAGGAGCAGTGTTTGTTAAACACACGCTGAAGGGGATCCTGAGCCAGGCACGAACATGAGACCACCACTGTAATTCCCACTGCCAGAACTGGCCTGGAGAGAAATGCCTTCCCAAAGAGCTACTGGAAAGGGAAGGCGATGCCCCAGGAGAGCAGAGCTGTGGGGTCAGAGGCCCTCAGGGCCCCAGGGGTGCTATAAAATGGCAAGAGCAGCAAGCCCCCAGCAGAACCCACCTCTGTGTACAGCGAGGTCTCCTTCAGCGGGATGGTCTCCTTGTCTTGGCCGCTTTTGTAAAACCCAAACCACTGTTGGAATGAAAACAAGGACACAGTTACTGAAGGGCTTCCAGGAGATAAGGAGGCTCTCACCAGCTCCTGCTGGAGACCCCGCACCACCAGGCCCATGTTTGTGCTCAGCCTGCTCCTCACCAAGCTGAGGTTCTGCCACCAAAGGACAAACCAGAAACAAGCAGTGAAGCAGCACCCAAGAGCAGCCTGCCTGCCTCACCTCAGAGATTGGGGGGTCCACCATGGTATCATTGAGAAATTTCACCATCACAAACTTCTTCAGAGCCATCAGGTTTTTCTTGTACGTCTCATTGATGCCCTGAATGAAAGCAAAAGCAGATCCAAGTCACTGGAAAGCCCACAGACAGGTCGGGGAAACCAGGCTCTGCACCTGCAAAGGAAACCCCAGGTCCTCACCCTCTCCTGGTTTATGTCAGCCAAAAAGATGCTGTTTTTCCTGTAGTCGTCCTCCTTCAGCGGATCATGCCAATACTCTGCTTGCACCAAGCTGGAAAAGAGTGAAACCAAAGCTCAGACAGAAACCCAGAGCTTCTAACGTGGCCCGGTTATTGCAGCCTGATGAATATACTCACTGCTCCTGAACAGCTTGTGTGTAGGCGCCCAGATCCAGCGTCTTTCGGATCCAGTCACAGATATGGGAGCTCTCACCAGGACAGCGTGGAAAGCCGTACACGCCTGGGGAAGGGAGACGTGTAACAGCCCAGTGAGCCACACTGAAATCCCTTAATCCCTCTGGCTGGTAAAGAACCACCCTCTTAGAGAGCAGTGGCAAGAATTACCCAGGGAATCAGGCGGCCTTTAATCCTGCAATCTCATTAGGCAGCCCTCCTGCCCTGGGCAGTTACAGAGATAAGGGAGGGTGCTCCTGAGCTGAAGGTATTGCCCTGGAGAAGAGAGGCAAGAACACTGATGTGTTGCCAGGAGGTCTCAGGTGATTCCCTACAAGTCTTCCCACTACACCACAAAGAAATAGACTCAAGCCATGGAGATTCTCAGGGGAGAGTATCTGTAATTCGTTGCCAGCCACCATTAACTCACACCTCTTAAATTCCATTTCATCTCCTGCAAAAAGCACCTCCCTTTCCTTGGAGCTTTAACCTTCCAGATGCTGATTGTAAAATATCTTTGTGACCCAGAAGGCTTAGTTTCACAAAGGCTTTGCTCTCTAGTTGGTAGCTTCTCCTGCCTAATCCCAACTAATCCCACGTGCTTCCAAAGTATAGAATTCCATGGAGATAATAAATTATCTCCTTACAAAGGTCCCTTCTCATTGCCAATTAAGCAAGACCAAGACAGAAGGTAACACAGTTTGCTAACAACCGGGCCCAAGCAGATCACGAGGTCCAGAGAACAAAGGGACAGGTTAACTCATAAGAAAATGGTCAGATTTTAGGAAGAGGTAAAAAACCAAGAGCCCCCCCAGCCTTCGAGGTGGTTTAGGAGGTGCGACTGCTTCAGAGGACACTACCTTGGTGCTGTCCCCCAATGGAGATCAGATTGAGCATGGGAGGAGAAGGACACCTCTGCGCCACCGCCCGCCTGTGGGGAAAGAGGAAGGTGCTGAGCTGGCTCCACATGCCCGGCCACCGCTGCTGGTTCTCAGCTTGTCACTGCGTGGGCTTGGGCACTTGGGGAAGGTTTGCAAAGAGAATGAACCCTTGCTGGTGGAGGAGGGCCACAGGCAAACGCTCCTGCCTTTCTGAAGGGGTTTGTCACTTTACATCTGTGTAGTACTTCATGAGAGCTTCAAATCAGAACCCCAAACCCTACAGAGACCACTGGAAATGGACCAGAAGGGTAAACTCACAGGAACTGGCCTCCCTGGGAGAAGCCCATGGAATTGTAGCCTCCTTTCAGGTGAGGGTCCTTTGCCAGCTGGCTGCACACCTCTCTCACCTGGTCGTTCGCATTCATAAAGAAGCTGTTCTCCATATCCTGAGGGATTAGACAAATAAGAACACAGAACCTGTACGTTTACAGTGGCTTCTAGATCACTTCCAGTTCTGCTTTTGAAAGAGGACCTGAACTTTCCCAATACGGCAGAAGTGAAGTTCTCATTTTGACACTTCCCTTCATGTCTTGCTCCTACTCTGCCTGGCAAAACTCTCATACAGAACAGTGACATTTCCCCAGACTTCTTGGCAATTTAAGCCCCTTCGGATTTTGTGTGTGTGTACATAAATATATAGATAAAACCAAACCAATCAGACTCCACCCTTCTCCTCCAGATCCCAGGAAATAACACACATTGCACATTATCCTGAGGGACTGTTTAAAGAAATCCCATAGGGTGAAATAAAACTGTCAAAAAACCACAAAGGCAGAGAATAAATCTGTATCTTCATTATACTGAAGATATGTGGTTGAAAATAAACACTATTATGTATTAAATATTTTTATATACATGTATGTATGTATATAATATGTATACACACATATATATGTATAATATCTACATATATATGTATAATATGTATATATGCCCATATGTGTATATATATGTGTAATATGTATACACATCTATACGTATACACATATGTGTATAATATGTAGTTTATATTTATAGTTATAAACAGTATTATGTATTAAGTATGTAGATTACAATAAGCAGTTGTAAATCAAAAAGGGGGTAAGGGATAAAGCTCTGCTTTAGCACAGTATCTTATCACATGCCTTCATATTACCCAGGGTGGTCAGAC